ACGGACGAATCGAATAACCGTTTTCGTGTGTGACTGCAACCGGCGGGAAGCCGGAGGGACGGTCAGATTCGAAAGTCGGTCAGAATGTTCCTCCATACCGCGATCGAATTTCTTTATCCATGATAGTCGGACTTGAAAGGACTCGCCCTGCCCCCTTTTCCCTCGCAGCCCAAAACACAGTCGTTCAAACGGTTCGACGATCTCCGGAAAACTGAGAAGTCCTCGATAAAGTCGCAAAAAAGAAAGTCGGGCCTACGAAACCTCCTACTCGCCGAAATTAACACGAGGGGCAATCTCTGATCTCCTGATGGATTTTCCCTCCCTTTCCCTCTCTATACGTTTAACATCGCCGCATTCTCTGTTCGGCTCGACGTGTCGTGCGGAGCGCGCGGCGATCATAGAAAATTCTATTCCGTGGCGACGGGCCAACGCGCGCTCGACCGTGTTCCCGGTATCGCGAAATTAATTCGCACTGGCGGTTTATTAATGTCGTACATAACTCGAGGCCTCGAGGGAAGGAGGGAGAAGGAGAAGGAGACAGAAAGAGAGAGAGAGAGAGAGAGAGAGAGAGAGAGAGAAATGGTCTTTGTGCCCGAGGGTCGACGCAAAAATAACCGGCGTTATCCCGGCCCTTGAGTCACTCTGCGCAGCAAAGTGACACGACAACTTTTGCGAGCCGAGTTAGCCTTAGTCACTCGGTCATCGGTGGGCAAAAAGAAGGAGAGAACGAGAGAGAAAGAGACGTATTTTCCATCTTACGCCGCGTAGAGGAAGCGCAGGAAGCTGCGCTTTCCCGCCGCCGCACCTGGTACCGTCGTTCCTCTTTATTCCTCCGCGAGAGAGAGAGAGAGAGAGAGAGAGAGAGGGAGAGAGAAAGAGAAAGAGGGAGAGAGAGAGAGAGAGAGAGAGCGTCGACCGCAACAGCTGTTTCGCCGCGCGACGCACTCGGCGGCCTGACGTCACCGATGCACGCGAGAAAAGCAGATCCGAGAGGATGCGTTCGTGCGTGCGTTGACACACAACGGGTCGTCTAGTTCGCCCGGCGCGACTCGACATCTAGTCCAGTTTTACCCGGTGCTTCTATTCCGCTAATTAACTTTTTCCGCGCGCGCGCGCGCGCGCGCGCTGCGTTCACTCTGTCCGCGACGTTATCAACTGGAACAGCGTAGGCGCGACGTAATGAAAAAAATAAATATCTTTTATCGGAGAAGATGCGTTCGAGGACGAGCGAACGAGTACACATTCTCGTAATGTCTACGAGAATTCGCCCGAGGCGAGATTCGCGAGGAGGCCCCGCGATCCCACTCGGAATCACAAGACTGAACGATTTGATTGAATTTACCGAGTGGATTCTTAATACATTCGAGTGCGAGAACGTCTCTCGATCTCGATCAGACAGCCGAATTAACTAGAAACGCGACACATCGGCACTCCGCTCTTCAATTTCGAATGGAAATCTTCACTCGATAATTCGGAACGGAGAAATTCGACTGGCATCTGCCTCGAGAGAGAGAGAGAAAGAGAGAATGAGAGAGAGAGAGAGAGAGAGAGAGAGACCCACGCAGCTCGCCCTTCCTCGCCGCTTCCCGCGCGCATCCAATCGCTGACGCGCGATTTAATCAAGCCCCGAGTAACTATCGGCAAGTTTGCAAAATAAAGCAGAGAACACTTCCCCATTCAGTTTGGCGCGCACCCTGCTCGCACGCGAGGAGCGTTGTTGTGCCATTAATTGTCAGACGCAGACTGTGCACAACATTCCCGACATAATTAGATGAGAAGAGCTCTCTCCCGAAACACCATTTAAATCGGCCCGCGCCAACCGACACCCGTCTCGCATACGTAGTAAGTTTCGCCGGAACTAGACGCGCGTTATACGATGCTGTCGTGAAACTGAACCCCGCGCTATCGGGGATCATGTCTGTCCAGGTGATCTGAGTCGTAATGAAGCTGCAGTCACCGTAGAGTAGTCCAACAAGATCATCTGACATGGCTCACGTGCGCTTGTAATCGCGATATATCCCGCCCGATTCTCCCGCTCTGCTTAACATTTACGTTACCGATCCGAGATATGCGCGACGATAACGCGCGCATATCGATCCCAGGCGATACGGGAAGTAGTATCGCTCTTTTGCTCCTCGCTTCTCTCTCTCTCTCTCTCTCTCTCTCTCGCAATCGGCAACGCTTGAGGCTGACCCGTTCGGTTGAAACTGAACCGCGAATGTCATGTCGAGTTGACTGGCGAGGAGTCGATAACGGCAACGGTGAACGCGAGAAAGAAAATCGGAGCCTCGTGTTACCTCGTGCTGTAACTAAGAGACAGGATGCGAAAGTCGAGCCGCGCGCGTTACTCGCGACGAGTCCGTCGTCGATGACTCATCGGCGTTCGAATGAAGTCTCGAAACGATTTTCCGGCGCTTTGAAGGAACCAAGCCCGGCCTCTGCTCTGCGCCGGCCGCACTTGGACTTTCTTCCCTTTCTCTTTATATTTGTCTTCCTTGCTCGCGTGGACCGCGCTAGTCGGACGTAAAAATAAACCGGGTGTACCGCGGGAAAATCGTTCCGAACGCGCCGAGTGAACGCTGCGCGCCTGGAAAGGGTCCAATCGGGAAGACCGAACGCGAGCGCGAACAATGATTCCGTTTGTCTGTTCGATAACCCGCGGTGATCTCTTCGGTCGAGGAAACTCACTCGCGTCAGAGAAGCAAACGCAAGTTTGCTCGCCGCGGAATGTCGCGATTACACTCGCGAGCTGCGACTTCTGAGACTCGCAAGTCTCTCTCTCTCTCTCTCTCTCTCTCTCTCTCTCTCCTCTCTCCCTCTCGCTCGCCGACGAGTACAATGTCTCACAATCGCGAGTTCCTCGACGAAAAAGTAACGCTCGAGATCCGACGCGGCGCGGCGCTCCGTTCGCGTCGGATCCGCGACTGTTAACGCTGATGAAAATAGCAAATAGGTGGCTGCGACCGAGGCGAAGGCAGGAATTAATTAGCCCGTCGTGGGGCATGTGCGAAGTAATTTAATCGGCGAATGTTTGCGCCGCCGTCGTACCTCTTCGTCGTCTTCTGCACAGGCAGGCGTTATGACGAGTCGAGTAATCGGGCAGTTCCCGATCGCTCGATGCGTACATAACGCGGCGTGTGTGTGACTAAACGCTCGTTGTGATATCGTCGCCGACGGAAATACTCCGATCCAGATAACGGATTCGGCTGCGTCGCGGCCGGTCAAAGGTGCGCGCGTTCCACAAAGAACAAAGAGCCGAGAATAGCGCTAGCGGGATGGATGAATAATTTCTCGGCGTGGCCGTGGAAGGAGGACGCCTCTTTTTCTCCTCGCGAGCAAACGAACAATCGCTCGACAAGCTTGACGTTCCGCCGTTCACGAACGTCAATCTCGTTTACCGAGGCCGGGAGAATTCGTATTCCGGGGAATCGGATTCCTCGAGCCGCGAGATCTCGCGATCCCGCGTTGAATCCGGATTATCTTTCGCGCCGGTCAGCCGCTCGAATATTTCCCGCGCCTTGTTTTTCTGTCTCGTCGATTCGACGATGCGCGCGCGCGCGGGGCACACTTCGCTTTGTAGTTGCTCGAAAACATTGCACGAGGAAAAAAAATTTACTATCTCTGACAAAACTGTTTAGTCGAGGCATTTTTTAATAGCAACCAAATATCTTGTTTTATATAACAAGATATTTAGTTGTCTCAACTAAGTATGTTGTTCTGCTTCGTTCTCTCTGGACCAAATGATTCTGTTCTTAGACTTCGTGTGTAAAAATTAAGCATCTTGGTTATTTTATCCATAAAAATTACATAATAACGAAATATTGTTTTATATAAACTAAAAGAGTGCCCAATGGATACTATTTTGTCAGTTTCCGCGCGCTAAAATTTAGATTTTGTATATTTGGAAAAATTTATAGTATTTTTCACAAAATTCATACAGTTGGAGCCTTTTGGTTGCTGTGACAAAAGTATTACGTTATTCGACCAAACATTCGTAATCAAGCAAGATATTTGTTTTACAGGAACTAAACAGCTCTGTCGGGCATATTTTAACCAAATTATTTTGTTGTTGTAACAAAATTTTGGCTCGCGCAACAATACATTTTTCCTAGTGTGGGGGAGAGCTCGGGGACACGTTAAAAAAAAGGCCCGAGTGAAAATTCGGACTGACGTGTGTGTGATCGCAGCGCGCGTCTACCGACAAACTGTCGCGGAGATAAAATTATAAATAGCCGTCAGGAAGTCGACGCGGAGAGATTGTGGGAATATTACATGTTCACCCTCTCTCTCTCTGGGATTCTATTTCACAAGCATATCATTATCGAGGTCTCGCGATTGGTTTTACCGAGATTTTCATCCGTCTTTCCACATCGCCTCGACGTTCCTTTCAGACAGGGCGTGTTTCGTGTTTCGTGTTTCGGATTTCTCTCTACGGCGGCGTTCAAAGTTTCACAAGACGCGTGAGAGCGCGTTGATCGGAGACGGGTTTCGATATTTTTTACTGCTCTGTAAATGTTTATCCGATGAACAAGCCGTCCTTTTCGCTCGGCAGATAAGAACGACAGACTCAATATTGTCCTATTACGCCAGCGAGAAAAGAAAAAAAAAAAAAAAAAACGTCGAATAGCGGCTTTTCGCTCAACAGGGAAACTAAAGCGGAGAATTGTAACTTCTTGCAGTTTGATCGTCCTCATTAAGCACCGTGCGTCATACGAAGAAACGTCCATTCGGTCCGACGTGTTTGCGCGTTTACGGTACTGCAATTTCAGTAAACGGCGTTAGTCACCTCGTTACGCTATCCGCACATTACGTAACGAAGAGATGTAAACCTGAAATGACGAAGCGCGCGATCTCGATGTCGCGCGTCGTTCTCACACGCTTTAATCGCGTCTAATGATGCCCGCGCGAGTCGCCGACACCTCGACGGGACGACACAATGACATCGCGATGCTTATCTCGTTTTTCTCCCACACAATCTATCTTTTGTCATTCTTTTCCAGAATGTGGAGTTGCAGGAAGGAACCATTCCGTCGGATACGACGCAGCTCGAGGTCTCTCACTGCCGAGAGCTGAGAATACAAACCGGCGCGTTTGGGAACAACACGTCCCTGAAGGAAGTCCACGTCTCGCGGATCGACAGCGTGGTGGCCAAGCGGCAGGCCTTCCAGAATATGAGCGTGCCCAACACGTACCTCAACGTGACGGAGTGCAAGAGCGTGTTGCTGGAGAGCCACGCCTTCATGAACCTAAACAGCACCCTGACCGTCTCCATCTCGCGATGCAAACACGTGGAGATCAAGCCGTGCGCCTTTTCGTGGCTGCTGTGGATTCACGTGAGGGACGTGCCGTCCTTGGAACTCTCCAGCAACGCCTTCAAGTTCGAGGCGCCCGAACACGGACGGCACGGACCGGCGACCAAGGTTGGAGCCGCGCGCGCGCGCGAATCGTCCCTGCCCGACTAGAAATTTTGATCAGGTTCACCTAACATTGATGAGGACCTAATAGGGTGAATGAAAGGTGATCCCAAGTAAGTCAGTCCTTATACATGTCCTGACGACAAAGTGAGTAAGGAAGACCTTTATGAGGTTATAGTGATTAGGACCTTAATGTACACCAACCTAGTGTATGATATAATATGGGGTTCAGTTAATCAGGTCCTTGTCGGGATCTTGTTCTTCGTTGTACCTAATATGATTTGCATCATCAAGTTTTAACGAAACAATTTTTCGGTGTCATCTCCAAGTAATATAAAGATGTTCGCATTGAAAAAACACTTCAGATCACTCGAATATATTTGTAAAATGCTATACAGAAACTATCCTTTTCTTAGCAGTCTATAAATAGTTGTGAAATTAACGTGACCCGCAACTCTTCTCTTTACTCACTGCTTTATGTCTTGTCACCTTGTGATACTTTATGATCTTATAATATTCTTGATTTTATGTTTCTTTTCCGAAACATTTTACGAGTACATGCTCGAGCGATCTAAAATATTATTTCATGCAAATATCTTTTTATTTGGAAATGATATGAAACAGAAGTGTGTTCTCAGCGTGTCGTTTCTTATTTCTAATCATCTAATATAGCCGTGGCGAGTAATCAGGAACCATAATTTGAAAAAAGAAAAAATAAAACGTAATACGGATTCCATAAGATAACTCAATAAGGACCTGACTATGAATCCTTACTAAGATCCTGCCGCTATCCACGCTGCGTTACATGACTTACTAGGACCCGATAGTATTACCTTATTAAGACTTGATCGGTCCAAATGAGGTTAACCTGATCGGAACCATGGGATAAATTTCTAGTCGGGTGTCTCTCTCTCTCTCTCTCTCTCTCTCTTTTGCGTTTTCCATGCTCGCGTCCCACAGCCATTATTACACGCGGCCGTCGTTCGACACACGCGCGCGCGACACGTCGATTTAAATTCTAAATCATACACAAGCGATACCGACATTAATATCATCTCTGAGCGATAGCGCGCTCGCGCGCTCCCACTTGCATTACGCTGTTAATATTTGATATCGTGTAACGTCAGTACGAATATATAAATTCGACGATATTACTCGGAATGTTGTAACGCTCCGTGTTCGATATCAGCTCGTGAATAAACGAGGCCGCGCAACGAGAGCCGATTTTCGCCAACAATTTGCGCCAGAGTGCGATATTATAATCGCCCGGTCCAATTTCCCCCCGTTCGGATAATCAAACTTAACACGAGCCCGATCGTTGGCGCGATCCCGCGCGCGACGAAGTGTCGCGCAGCTTTGTTATAATCTCGTACGCGGTTCGCCCTATGATGCAGATAAATTTCCAAAGCGTGGGGATCACGGAGCTACCCAAGGCGGTCTTCCCCTCCGTCCTCTCCGAGATTAAAATGAACGACATCTCGATGAAGGTCATACGCAAGGACGCCTTCTGCGCCATGACCATTCTGCGGGTGATCATCAGCAACGCGTCCATCCACGAGATTCAGTCGGGCGCCTTCAGCGACAAGGCCTTCATCGACAATCTCGAGTTCATCGACGTGGAACTGCGAAATATTCACACCACGGCCTTCCGAGCTAGCCACGACAACCTGACGATCCAATATTCAAGGTTTGACATTGAAATCTCTCTCTCTCTCTCTCTCTCTCTCTCTCTCTCTCTCTCTGTGAAGATCCTCGTTCTCGCCGCTCGCGGCAGAACCGACTCGCAGATTCGAAGACGCGAGAGAGACGACTTCGGGTCTCTTCTCGCCTTTAAGGGAGGCGTCCTTTTTGCGCCTCCCGGTCGCACTCTGTCGAGTCTAGGAAAAATTATTCCGTCCTTCGTGAGCGATCCTGTGTCGCGCGGATATCGCGCAGGACGGCTGCAGGACGTGCTGCAAGGACTTCGGCGACATGTTCGCGCGAGCGACAAGTCAATTCGTGAAAAGTGCTCGCTGAAAGAAACGTTTATTTGATCGCGCAACGACGACGGACCGATTTCTGAAAAAGAGTTCGGAAAAGAGCTCACTCGGAACGGAAACTCGGTAATCGAAAACTCGCTCGCGGGTAGCTCCGCTCGGGGGTTGTAAACAGCGACGGCCTCGGTCGATTCCATGTTGTCTTTGAATCCCGTCTTCGGCGAATTAACATTTCGCTCGCGACTTGGTTCGCACAGCAGTCCGTGCGGTCCGCAAGGGGAGGGGTGGGGGGGGGGGGTGGGGGGAACAGGTTGCAACACTTTCACAGAGGTCGATGGACCTCGGAACGCGTTCGCGATTCAAGTCGTTGCGCAAGTCGCGTAGAGAATAGTCGTGGAAAAGAAACACGTTGCAACCGCGCGCGGACGAAGGGATACCTCTGGGATAATTTTGCGTCCCCGCGCAATCTCTTGTCTTTCTCTCGTCTTTCCACATGCAGATTGTCCGAGGTGGAGAGCGGCGCCGTCAACTCGCAAGTGGCGGTCGTCATCTTCAGCAAGAACGAATTCCAGAACTTGCAGCGGGGCTCGATCGTGCTGCACGAGTGGAACAACATCACGATCGACCAGAATGTCTTCGTGAACCTGGAGAGCGAGGCCATTAAGGCGGAGGTCAACTACACGTCCAACCCCAACTTCGAGTTCTCCTTCACGGGCAATCGCATACAGCGGGCGCGGCCGGGCTCGCTGAGATTCGCCGCGATCTCCCAGAAGGCGAACTCGGCTCGCATCGGCAACAATTACTTCAAGCTCACGTGCAACTGCCACCTCGAGGACTGGGTGCGCGAGGTGACGGGGACCGACAGCTCGACCACCTGGATGATGGACTCTAGCTACTGCGAGATCGACCGCTCGGTTTTCAAGTGCCCGAACCTGCCCGAGCACATATCCATGGGGAACTTTACGCGACTGATCTGCGAGTCGCAGCAGCACGTCAACTGCGAGAAGCCGACGAAGCAGCCGTCGAAGCCGCAGCCGCAGCCGCCGAGTTTCAGCCCGCCCAACGTGGGCCCGCACGTGTACCCGCGGAACAAGAGCTTCTTCGACTCGAGCGAGAGCGAGCAGCTGGAGCGCGAGAAGCGAATCATCGTCATCGTTTGCGTGGTGGCGGTCTTCGTCGTCGTCGTGGTGATCTTAGCCTCGGGGATCCTCTACATGCGCAGACGCGGCGTGTGTCCGAAGCTCACGTCCGGACAGCTGATGAACCTGGCCAATTGGTTTTCACCCAACAACGGAATGACCGCCGCCACCTCCGCCAGGTCCATCTCCAGAATGAGCGTGCACGAGTACGCCGGCCTCCAGACGCCGGAGACGAGGATCTTGGAAGAAGAGCCTCGAGAGGCGGAAGCCACAGCGGATGACTACGACGAGGGGACCGGCGTAGACGTTTACCCTTACACGGAGAACAAAGCGACGCAGACACTGCCGGAGGAGCTAACGGAGGAGTACCTGAGGGATCTCCGCGAGAGACTCAACGATCCCGACAACTACAGCCAAGCGAGGGACATGATCGAGCACCTGTACGACCTGATCAAGGTGGAGGAGAGTTGCAACAACAACAACAACGACCACCGGCAACCGGTGGACGATCAAGAGGAGAACGCCTACGACATCATCCAGCCGAGGATCAGGAGGCCTCGCGGCGCCCCGAGGCCGTCCGTCACCGTCGGCACCAAGGCGCCATCCTTGGAGAAGCTGTTGCCCAACGGCATACAACTGAGACCGCCCATCACGGAGTACACGCAGCCCCGTGACCAGAGAACCAGCGACCAGAATCACCTGTACGCCGAGTTACCGGGCGACGAGACGGTCCCGAGCACCAGCCGGCTGTCCCAACCGATCCTGGAGAGCCTGATCGGCCGTGCGCCGCAGCCGTTACCTCCGGACGTGGTGAACGACCACCTGGTGGAGCGTCCGCCGCCCAAGAACTACGCTTACAACGACAATGAGCGCGCGCCGCCGCCGCCGCGGAGTCCGCGGTTGTTGGGCTCGTGCAGGAACAACCACCAGCAGCCGGCCGGCAGCAGGCCGATGAGCTTCCTCAAGGTGCTCAGCGAGAGTATCCGGGGCGCGACGAGCAAGATGAACGGCGGCAAGAGGCCGAACTCCCTGCTCTGCGAATACGCCGAGCCGTCCGACGTCACCGCCCACCTGTACTCGGAGCTGCCGGAGCCGCGGACGCCCGCGTCCACCAGCACCAGGATGGCCAACAGGCCGTTGCCCACGAAACCCGATCAGGACCCCGTCGCCGCGGACGCGAACGCGAACGCGAACGCGAACGCGAACGCGAACGTAGCGAAGGCGTAGCCAGGCCGGTGTCCATTTATCTGTGATATACAAATGTGTGTGTGTGTGTGTGTGTGTGTGTGTGTGTGTGTGTGTGTCGAGTTCTCTCGCCCTGCTACCGTTCATGCCGTTCAGAGAGACTACGTGCGTGTTCGCGCTTGTGTGCGAGAGCGATTGCGTTCGCGCAAGAACTCCGCTGCCGAGCCGGGACGGAACGGGACGGGACGGGGCGAGACGAGTCGACCGAGAGAGGAAGAGAAAGAGAGACCAGCCGCTGCGTTAGAGCGGAGGAAATTAGTGCAATTCACGCGTACACAGGCCTCGGCCGAGATAGATGGTGGCGGCGGCGGCGGCGGCGGCGGAGGCACCAAGTGGCCTCACCTTCGAGTCGCGCGCGTATGAATGAGGCCTCGTTAGAACAATGCTGTCGCCCGGCTCACGATTTCGTTTCCCGTCTCGAGAGGGGAGCGGCAGCAGTCGCGGCGACCAATCGACCAAAGCCACGTTCTTCCTCGCGAAGGCAGAGCGAGTGCGTCGAAATTGCCGCTCTCGCCTCTTCATGGCTTCGTTCGTCCCGCTCGTTCTCTTTTTCCTTTCCCCTTTTTTATTCGCGCTCGCGACACGACGTCGAGAGACGCTACCGGCGCGACTCGTCGTGTTCTCTCAGAAGACCGTGTCCGCTCGCGGCACACATCGTGAGGAAATGTTGACGGATCTTTATTTATGTGACTATATCTACGAGAGATAGATGTAACATAAAGGTATATATATATATATATATACATATATATATACATGTATATGTATACTCGCTTCGTCAGGTATTATTAAATAAGCATTTTACAAATTCCACACACGTGTGCCTGGCGCATTAATCAACACCGACAACATGTTCAAGTTTCCCGTTTCGACCAGCCCGATTTGTTTCCAGGAGAGAGATACAAATTTGGACACCACTTCGCCGGAGGAGAATCGATTATCTCATTAGTCGACGGACATTAGCCACTTCCGGCGATTTTACACAGCATTCTTATTACGCCAGGCAATCGATAGTTCACCATTTTATCAATATTCGAGTGTGTTCACTAGCTTCTCCATTCCACCTCCTCCGAGTGATTCCCGAGTGATTCACTTGAGAAAGAACAAGAGAGAGAAGGAGAGATATTGAGGGACGTTTCAGCGCAAGATTCAGCCGACCAGACGGATGGCGAGAATCAGCGTGAAGAAGTTGGCACGAGCGAATTATATCCTCCCTCCCCGCCTCTCTCTCTCACTCTCTCTCTCTCTCTCTCTCTCTGCTCACGCGCTACACACGATCGTCGATCCATCGGCAAACTGCTGCGGGAGATACGAGCGCGGTACGAGGCGGCAGCTGCAAGCGCGCGTACAAGTAGCGAATATTTCCCTACGTTTCGCGCGCGATCAATCCGCTGAAATGGGTAATAAAACAGATCCAGCGGGTTCAACGATTAGATCTCCATCCTGCCCTCTCTCTCTCTCTCTCTCTCTCTCTCTCTCTCTCTCTCTCTCTCTCTCTCTCTCTCTCTCTCTCTCTCTCTCCGGTGTCCGAACCGGCCGAGTATTCTCCAATTCTCTCAAGCGGCTACTTATTACGTGAGTTCAGCAAGCGTTACGAAGTGTGCTCATCGATTGCCCGTATCTAAATCTCATGCTCGAAGTGCAACACCGTCGCTTGTCTTATCTCGGGGAATTTTACGATTCGAGTAGCTCCCCCGAGACGCGCGGCCGGCCTCTCTCTTCCTCGTTTCCTTCCCGCCCTCTTGCCCCAACCTCCGCGCGCGCGCACACACCTCGAGAACGCTTTCGGGTTCAAAGGTCGTCACGGGTGCTCGCTCCCTCCTTCTCTCTCCGGCTTTTTGCCCGTTTCTTTTTTTTTTTTTTTTTTTTTTTTTATCAAATAACGCGCGCAATGGTGCTCGCGTCGCGTCGCGTCGCGCCGCGCGCAAGAGGGAGGCGTGCGGCTGCTCCGGGGCAGAGGGGGGAGGGCGGGGGGAGGGGGGGAACAGTAACGGCCGCGAGAGCAAACGATTCGCCTCGGCGTCTCCGGGCGGCCAGGAGATATTCTTAATCTCTCTCGGGGCGCAGTCGGTGTATATCCGCGGCGAGACCAAACTATTCCATGAAGAATGTAAGAGGAACAAATAGAGCCGGGCTAGCCGGGGCTGCGACGCAGCTGTTGACGTCTAAACGGCCGCGCCGTTCCACGCCGTTCTACGGACAAGTAAAACCCGGAGGAAAGTCCGACCGCGCCAGGAGGTGCTGCAGAGACACGCGGTGGCGACGACGGACGGCGGCGGTGGCGGGGAGGGGGGAGGAAAAAAGTCCGCGAAAGGCTCGTGGACGTAACAAGTCTCTTCGAGGACGATCAATTTCCCTAATTTCGCTCGGATCTCGCTCGATGCTCCTCTCTCTCTCTCTCTCTCTCTCGCTCTCTCCCTCTGCCTACATCTCCATTTCTGTGCCTCTCTTTCTCTCGTATCCTCTCTCTCTCTCTCTCTCTCTCTCTCTCTCTCTTTGTGTCTCGACCGAGCTGTAAATTCGTAGCTCAGACTTCGCGCTCGCCTAGTTATCGCGTAGTCGATTTTTCCTCGGCGGGAATTTAATCTAAGACCTAATTATCGCGCTATTTAACGTCGAAAATTAAAGCACCCCGGCAAATTAAGTGTCAGGAGCGTAAATGAATGATGGGGAAACCTTGCTGCCCGATTAATCCGCGATCAAATGTTTTTCTCCGATAAAAATTTAATTTTCCGAAAATTGCCGAGTAATCTCGCGCTGTGGGAGGAGGGGTGGGGTGGGGGGGTGGGGTAAACAACGCGCGCGCGCGCGCGCTGATACATCATACGAGTCGAATGTATCACGCGCGTTCTCGTTAAAATAAGTAAGTTCCTCTCACGAAGGTCGTACATCCTTGTCTTTTTTCCTGTCGCCCGAGTATCTCCGTCGACTCAGTCTTCCTCAACAGGCCTGAAATCTGACTTCCCCGTCAACGTTTGCGTCGTCGCGTTGTGACACCGTTAATTATACCTCACACGGACAAGAAGAGACAAAGGAAGCATCGCGTGAGACCAGAAGAAGAGCGCATTGGTTATTGCGCTGCAACCGGAATGGAAGGTAAAACACAGAACGCCACAGAGAATTCCAATACCGTCTCATGGAGGTGGAAGAAGAGTGTGGAGGTGGAGCCGCTTACCGAAATATAAATACATCGAATATCGCATTTCAAGCGGACAGAACGCGAAATAGAGAATTTCCTACGTTTCTTCCTTCCGTCAAAGTCGCGATTTTTCGCGCGTTTTATCACGGGTCTACTTCGCCGACAGGTTAAAGAGCGATATCAAGGCGCGCCGTACGCAGCTGGCCCGTCCTATCGCGCACCGATTCGCGGGATTGTTTATGGCCGACCATTTTTCAGATAAGAGTGTCATTTTTCTCGAGACCGGCTGCCCGTCGCGAAAAGTCAGGAGAGACGACGGTCGAACGTGTTCTCAACTAGATGCAATTTGTTGCTCTCTCTCTCTCCTCTCTCTCTCTCTCTCTCTCTCTCTCTCTCTCCTCCGCCGCGCCGTCGATCTCCGCAGACAATGTCCCGCCTCGCGTGCGAATTTATGGATACTTATATATTATTTAATTTATGGCTAGCGTGTAAGTATACGTCCGCATCCGTCTCTGAGAAAATACAGGCGCGCGCCGACGTGCACATCCCGGAAAATATAGATGGGGCCGCCTTCGAATATGTATAACGTCGTGTAATTTATCTTCAAACTTTCCGCATGAAACTGTTACAAGCGGACCGACGCGAACCTGCCGCTCGAGCCAATCTCGAGCAAAAAGAGCTTCTTCTTTGCGCAGTCTGTTTGTATTGTCTCGTGTGCGCACATTTGTCCGTGACACTTTTCGCCGCATTTCTCTACTTTGAAGGATAAACCCCCCCCCCCTCCCTATCCCCAAGGGGGTTAGAGAACAGCCACAGCGATGAAGCAAAAAATATTTCAAGCTGCCGAGCGAGTATTCGTCTCGAATTTGCGATAGAGCCTTTTTCACGTCGAAATTCATGCCGAAACTTTGCCCTTTCAAAAAAAAAATACCTTCTCCCTCAAACGGCAATCACAGTCCGGATAAACTGAAAACTGCAAACTGAGACACGAGATGTAACGCCCGACCGCAAAAGCTGCAAATTGCACGACGGCCGGAATTTTGTGGTTTCGTCGAGTTGTAACAGAAACACTGTAACAGGCTCTCCCTCTCTGAGCGAGACCGCACAGGAGGAAGTGACGCGAAAGGAGAAGAAGGAGAAAGAGAAGAAGAAGAAGAAGAAGAAGAAGAAGAAGTGAAGAATGAAAATTCGCCGCTAGAGCAAATCCGCTCGCGAACTCGCCGAGCGCGACGCGCAAATTTACAGCCGTCTCCCGACGCGCGATTTTCTCGCCGTGCAGCAGCGGATAGGTGTCCGAGGCGGAAGTGAATGAGATCACGGCGTGCTCTCTCGCACGCCGGGAGACCATAATCCGCAGCGAGACCGGCCAAGCAGGCAGCTCTATCAGGTTTCATCAGCGGGCCAATCATCTCATCACTCGGATGACCGTGCCAGCGTCCGATTCGCCGTGCTCCAACCCGTTTCTGCGGCCCGTGACCTAATCCCTCCCTGTGTGTCGAGATAGCGGGAAAATCGATCGAGGAATCGCCGGCGGACATCTCGACGACGACTGGGGGGTTATCGAAGTACCCCGAAATCATGGGCCGCCGATCTCTCAGGCCGGGCTCTCAGCCTAAGCCGGGGCTTAGATCGTAAATGGATTTTCCATCTCGCGAGACTCCGCCCCCTTCTCGCGCCCCTCGCCCCCTCGTCGTGTCCGGGAAAACAGCTTACGCGCGACGTGTGTATAACGTGTCAAACTATTGTAATTACACCGCGAGAAACTGCGCTACATTAGAGGAGATGGCACCGACACGTGCGCGACACGGGAAAAGCAATTCGAACTCTCTCGCCGGCCCGGCCGCGTCCGCACCGACCGGCGATAACGTTCAACATTCGTTCTCCGAGCGCGCGCTATGCTAAAATATGTTGACGTTAATTTATGCGAACGACGTGCGGCAGCGCGTGATGTTCCTAGCGATCGTTCGATTCGACTCGAATCGCGCGCGCGAGAGAGAGAGGGCTTACGCGCCCTTTCGTCGATTAACGCGAGGAAGCGCGAGCTTGAACGGGAAAAATATGCGCATCGCTCTCAGGCTGTATGTACGGTTCAGGTGTTCACGGCGGGCCAAATGTGATTTGTACGTCCCGATATTACGCCGTGCGTTACATATACAACGGGCGAAACACGGGCCGAACAATGGCCGCGCGAAATAATATAGTCCCTTTGATCGATTGAAACGAAACGCTGCTTCGCCCATGTTTCTATTTTGTCGCGATGATATATCGGGTGGCGTGCCCTTAATATACGCCGTCTGCTTCTTACGATCCGGTGTGTCACCTGTCGCGACGATATTGCATCCGGAGATCTAATGGACCTTTAAACCGAAACGTCTTTCTATATAAGCTAACCCCGTGTCGTCGACCTCTCTTCGCGAAAGAGATATTTCCCCGAACGGGGGTCGCTCGCAGCAAACGAGAAGCACAGAGGAAAGCACACTGTCCGAGTTTGGGCAAATGACTTTTTACACGTTCGTTCGAGAAAACCGTCTCCGTCTCCAGCGTTTATCAATTTTGAATGCGAGCGAGTGATAATAACAGACACTGCTCCGAAAGTTGAATTTATCGACATTTCACTTCTAAATGTATTTTGATTGTAAATATTTAATTTTTCTCACGGACTTTAAAACTCGAC